ACATACCTTCAATAGCGTTAGTTGATGATGGAAATATCTCCGATTAGTCCAACGTTCTAATGAATACTGATTGAAACCGTTGAAACAGAACATATTCATATTTTTCTGGAATATTTTATTTGAATTGTTTTTGGGTTGATCAAATAAATGAGATGAATGTGGGGTTTCTACAAAACAGCAGCAACATGCACAGATACGAAAAATTTCCAATAGGTGTCTCTTTTTCGGACAATATTACGATCCATCCATATTTTCGACCAACTGTACTTATATTGTCTCATTTTGTGGCCATCTTCATACTAATTTCCTTCCAATCATAGGATTTATTAAGACAACATCCGACGTAACGCATAACATATTATGTCCATATTTTAATAACATATCGGCCGTTATTATTATGTTATTAAGTATAGTTAATAATATGTTATTGCCCGTAAATCTGTAGAAGAGGCTTTTTGTCCATGTCAGTGGACTTTTGTGGTATTAAATTTGTTTAAATCAATGTGAATTTTATGGAAAAAATTGTGTTTATTGAAATTTGATATCAAAGAAAACCGAAAACGCCATAAAAACCCAATACTTGTTCAAAATTGTTTGGTACTTTATACTACTTGTGCATTGATACTAATCCGCCTGTCTAAATATACTTACAGAAATCCTAACGATAGGAATTTTGGTTTGCAATTCTACATCGAATTTATCTTGATCAATCACTCACTTACATGTTCACTTCTTCTTGGTGAATGCAGTGAATGCATGTCGCACAAATCGAGCCTTTAATATGAAATCTTGTCATTTGCAAGAGCAAACCACGAACACATGAGATAATTTTGATGACATTTAGCTAAGTTCATCGGCTTGTCCGTTGAATTGCAATTTAAAACAGAGGAATAAGAACATTGATGAAACGAATAAATCAATGATACTGAACCTAAAAACACATATGTATATATTGAAATTATATTATTTCTCCACTTAAATTAATTAAACTTAATTCCAATCAAAATCTATTTAAAAAAATCTGAACCTAATATCCCCGTAAAGATACATCAACTCGTTCTTGGTCGAGTATATTCTTTACTTCTGTAAAATCCCTTTTCTTCGGTTGCGGTGGGAAATGACGTCTAATTCCAAAGGGTTGCAGCCGATACGTGAGGAAATACATCGAGTATTGATATTTACCCTGGATGTAATGAAAACTAATCGTATAATTTGAGCAGCAATCCAATCCTTCATCGTTCCAATAGTATTTTCTTTGCCAGTACCAAGAATTGGGATCGGGTTTGCCGAATAAATGCACCTCCGGCCAAAAGGTTAAAAAGCGATCGCGTTTAAGCAAATCTCGTGAATCGCCGGCATACACATTATAATGGTCAAGACAAAGGGAAATTTCCCAATCCTCGACTCGATTATCGGTTTCAATATGACAGTCTCTCGGTTGTTCTCCTTCTGATTTGCGGTAGAACTCTTTGTTGGTTAGCATTTTTTCAACGAATATTCGAACAGTTTGTCGGCTCATCACGTAGCCACTGCCTCCACTAAAATACCCTTGCTTATGGTCCGTAGTGTTGAATTTATATCCAAAGTAAATGGGATCCTCAGTGGAATATGCCGACAACATGTAACGTAAGTTTTCAGTGATTAAAAACGTGTCATCGTCACCTTTTATGAACCAATCGTAGTCGCTGAGAAAATTCTTGTAAATATGCTGCATCATTAATTTAACTTTGCCCCACATATGACCATGATCATTAGTGACATTGAATCCAAGGGCTCCCAAATTTATATCAGTTAACGTACTGGAAAACAATAATTTATCACAATGCTTGCCCCACGTCTGCTGAATATGAACCGCTCGTGATGAATGAGTCTTTGGCATCGTATGCAAGAAACACAATATTCGGATCTTTTTTACATTCTCAATACTTGTTTGCGTCAAATTAGGATGGGGTCCTTTTCTTAAACTCACTTCAGCCACCTTGAATTTGTTGATATGTCGAATTGATTCTGGATCCTTAACTGTTAGAATAGTAATGAAAAATCCGATTCCAATTCCAATTAGAAACCAACAAAATATTATTTTTGCGTTCATCTTCTAAATACACTTGCAATAGTGC